TAATAAAGAAGAAGAATCAAATTGATACAATAAAAAATGAAAAAGGGGATATCACCACTGATCCCACAGAAATACAAACTATCATCAGAGAATACTATAAACACCTCTACAAAAATAAACTAGAAAATCTGGAAGAAATGGATAAATTCCTAGACACATACACCCTCCCTCCCAAGACTAAACCAGGAACAAGTCAAATCCTTGAATAGACCAATAACAAGTTCTGAAATTGAGGCAGTAATTTCAGAACTGAGCCTACTAAACAAAAAAGTCCAGGACCGGACAGATTCACAGCCAAATTCTACCAGAGGTACAAAGAGGAGCTAGTACCATTCCTTCTGAAACTATTCCAAACAATAGAAAAAGAGGGACTCCTTCCTAACTCATTGTATGAGGCTAGCGTCATCCTAATACCAAAACCTGCCAGAAACACAACAAAAAAAAGAAAATTTCAGGCCAACATCCCTGATGAACATTGATGCGAAAATCCTCAATAAAATACTGGCAAACTGAATCCAGCAGCACATCAAATATCTTATCCAGCACCATCAAGTTGGTTTCATCCCTGGGATGGAAGGCTGGTTCAACATATGCAAATCAGTAAATGTAACCCATCACATAAACAGAACCAACAACAAAAACCGCATAATTGTCTCAATAGACGCAGAAAAAGCCTTCAAAAAAATTCAACACCATTTCAGGCTAAAATCACTTAATAAACTAGGTATTGACGGAACATATCTCAAAATAATAAGAGCTATTTATGACAAACCCATAGCCAATATCATACTGAATGAGCAAAAGCTGGAAGCATTCCCTTTGAAAACTGGCACAAATCAAGGATGCCCTCTCTCATCACTCCTATTCAACATAGTATTGGACGCTCTGGCCAGGGCAATCAGGCAAGAGAAAGAAATAAAGGGTATTCTTCAATTAGGAAAAGAGGAGGTCAAATTGTCTCTGTTTGCAGATGACATGATTGTATATTTAGAAAACTCCATCATCTCAGCCCAAAAGCTCCTTAAGCTGATAAGCAACTTCAGCAAAGTCTCAAGATACAAAATCAATGTGCAAAAATCACAAGCATTCCTATACACCAATAACAGACAAACAGAGAGCCAAATCGTGAGTGAACTCCCATTCATAATTGCCACAAAGAGAATAAAATACCTAGGAATCCAACTTACAAGGGATGTGAAGGACCTCTTCAAGGAGAACTACAAACCACTGCTCAAGGAAATAAGAGAGGACACAAACAAATGGAAAAACATTCCATGATCATGGGTAGGAAGAATCAACATCATGAAAATGGTCATACTGCCCAAAGTAATTTATAGATTCAATGTTTTTCCTGTCAAGCTACCATTGACTTTCTTCACAGAATTAGAAAAAACTAGTTTAAATTTCATATGGAACCAAAAAAGAGACCATATAGCCAAGACAATCCTAAGCAGAAAGAACAAAGCTGGAGGCATTACGCTACCTGACTTCAAACTATACTATAAGGCTACAGTAACCAAAACAGCATGGTACTGGTACTAAAACAGAGATATAGACCAATGGAACAGAGACCTCAGAAATAACATCACACATCTACAACCATATGATCTTTGACAAACCTGACAAAAATAAGCAATGGGGAAATGATTCCCTGTTTAATAAATGATGTTGAGAAAACTGGCTAGCCATATGCACAAAACTGAAACTGGACCTCTTCCTTACAACTTATACAAAAATTAACTCAAGATGGATTAATGACTTAAATGTAAGAATTAAAACCATAAAAACCATAGAAGAAAACCTAGGTAATACCATTCAGGACATAGGCATGACTAAAACACTAAAAGCAATGGCAACAAAAGCCAAAATTGACAAATGGTGTCTAATTAAACTAAAGAGCTTCTGCACAGCAAAAGAAACTATCATCAGAGTGAACAGGCAACCTACGCAATGGGAGAAAATTTTTGCCATCTATCCATCTGACAACAGGCTAATATCTAGAATCTACATGGAACTTAAACAAATTTACAAGAAAAAAAAACCCCATCAAAAAGTGGGTGAAGGATATGAATAGACACTTCTCAAAAGAAGACATTTATGTGGCCAACAAACGTATGAAAAAAAGCTCATTATCACTGGTCATTAGAGAAATGCAAATCAAAACCACAAGGAGATACCATCTCATGTCAGTTAGCATGGCGATCATTAAAAAGTCAGGAAACAACAGATGCTGGAAAGGATGTGGAGAAATAGGAATGCTTTTACACTGTTGGTGGGAGTGTAAATTAGTTCAACCATTGTGGAAAACAGTGTGGCGATTCCTCAAGGATCTAGAACCAGAAATACCATTTGACCCAGCAATCCCATTACTGGATATATATCAAAAGGTTTATAAATCATTCTTCTATAAAGACACATGCACATGTATGTTTATTGCAGCACTATTTACAATAGCAAAGACTTGGAACCAACCCAAATGCCCATCAATGATAGACTGGATAAAGAAAATGTGACACATATACTATGGAATACTCTGCAGCCATAAAAAAGAATGAATTCATGTCCTTTGCAGGGACATGGATGAAGCTGGAAACCATTATTTTCAGCAAACACAAGAACAGAAAACCAAACACTGCATGCTCTCACTCATAAGTGGGAGTTGAACAATGAGAACACATGGACATAGGGAGGGGAACATCACACACCAGGGCCTATTGGTGGGGGGAGGCAAGGGGAGGGATAGCATTAGGAGAAATACCTAATGTAGATGATGGGTTGATGGGTGCAGTAAACCACCATGGCACATGCATACCTATGTAACAAATCTGCACGTTCTGCATATGTATCCCAGATCACGAAGTATAATAACAAAAAAATGGTCCTGGGAAAACTGTGTAGCCATATATAGAAAATTGAAACTGGACCCCTTCCTTACACCTTATACAAAGATTAACTCAAGATGGATTAAAGACTTAAGTGTAAAACCCAAAACTACCAAAACCATAGAAGGACTGGGTGTGGTGGCTCATGCCTGTAATCCGAGCACTTTGGGAGGCCGAGGTGGGCAGATCACGAGGTCAGGAGATCGAGACCATCCTGGCTAACATGGTGAAACCCCGTCTCTACTAAAAATAAGAAAAAATTAGCTGGCTGGGCGAGGTGGCACGTGCCTGTAGTTCCAGCTACTCAGGAGGCTGAGGCAGGAGAATCGCTCGAAACTGGGAGGTGGAGGTTGCAGTGAGATGAGATCACACCATTGCACTTTAGTCTGGGTGATGGAGCGAGACTCCGTCTCAAAAAAAAAAAAAAAAAGAGAAACCAAAACAAACAAACAAACACACACACACACAGACACACACAAACCATAGAAGAAAATATAGGCAATACCATTCATTCAGGACGTAGGCACAGGCAAAGACTTTATGATGAAAACATCAAAAGCAATTGCAACTAAAGCAAAAATTGACAAATGGGTTTTAATTAACTAAAGAGCTTCTGCTCAACAAAAGAAATTATCATCAGAGTCAACAGACAACCTACAGAATGGGAGAAAATTTTTGCAATCTATCCGTCTGACAAAAGTCCAACATCCAGAATGTACAAGGAACTTAAACAAATTCACAAGAAAAAAAAAAAAGAACCTCGTTAAAAAGTTGGCAAAGGACATGAACAGACACTTCTCAAAAAAGACATTTATCCAGCCAACAAACATAAAAAAAGCTCAACATCACTGATCATTGGAGAAATGCTAATCAATACCACAATGAGATACCATCTCATACCAGTCAGAATGGCGGTTATTAAAAAGTCAAGAAACAACAGATGCTGGTGAGGCTGTGGAGAAATAGGAATGCTTTTTTACACTGTTGGTGGAAATGTAAATTTAGTTCAACCATTGTGGAAGACTGTGGTGATTCCTCAAAGACCTAGAGGCAGAAATATCATTTGACCCAGCAATCCCATTACTGGGTATATACCTAAAGAAATATAAATCATTTTATTATAAAGATACATGCATGTATATGTTCATTGCAGCACAATTCACAATAGCAAAGACATGGAATCGACACAAACGCTCATCTGTGATAGACTGGATAAAGAAAATATGGTACATATACACCATGGAATGCTATGCAGCCATAAAAAGGAACGAGATCATGTCCTTTGCTGGAAGGAGCTGGAAGCCATTATCCTCAGCAAACTAACATAGGAACAGAAAACGAAACACCGCACATTCTCACTTGTAAGTGGAAGCTGAACAATGAGAACACATGGACACAGGGAGGGGAACAACACACAGTGGGACCTGTTGGGGGCTGGGGAAGGGAGAGCATCAGGAAAAATAGCTAATGCGTGCCAGGCTTAACACCTAGGGGATGGGCTAATAGATGCAGAAAACCAACATGGCACAGGTTTACCTAGGTAATAAACCTGCACATCCTACACATATATACTGGAACTTAAAATAATATAAAATAAATAAAATATAAAATAAAACATACCATGCACAGTTCCTGGCACACAGATGGTGAAGCTATAAGTAATGGATCAGAAATATAATTTAAAGATGCTGAAGAGGATATTAAAATTTGTAATTATAAATTTAATTTACATTTTTGTAGGAAGAATTTTTTTAGAGATTTTTTTCTTCTTCATCTTAATTATATGCTTTTGACTATTAGAATGTTAGTAACAATACAGATTGACAGGCAAAATGAGAATGCAGGGTATTTGGAATTTTACTATGTCAAAAAGATCAAATCAAAGATTAGCATAGTGGAGTGAATGGTTGATTTGGGGAACGGTTCAGAACTAGTTAGTGAAAAAGTCTAAGATGATGCATTCTTAGATATAAGAAAGGGGAAGAGATTTGAATAAATCAACAAAACAGAAGATGAAGCAGTTTCAATGAGGGTCGTGAACAAATTTAAAAAAGAGAAAAAGAAATAAATATTAACATGAGGTAGTTATAGATCAATTACTTTAAGACTAATACATACCTCTGGAACTGAAGTTTCCATCAGAGACAGTGGAGGAGGAACACATCCACCATCCTGTGCAATTTCCACTGGTTGATAAATAACCTCAGAAGGTTGCAGGTATAAGAAGGGAGCAGAAGAGGCAGGAGGCTAAAACACAAAACCACATTTCTAATTCAAATATGATTACTTATCTCTGTTAAACCAAATGACTTAGCCAACAGATGAGAGAAGTATTTGCTTTATATTTTACTAAATTTTTTTTTAGGAATAGCACAGAAGTATCTCAGCAATGGATCAGAAACTAATCTGTTATAAATTCCAATTGTGTAGATGTAAATAATCTTATCACTGGTAAGCACTAAAACTTCTTAATGACTCAGAACCTCATATATAAATCCAGATAATAATTATGGTTATATTAATATCACCAGTAAAGTTTGTAATAAAGTGACCTATGGTATTTAAATTGACATAAATGTCTGCTCTCAGCTCTGTGACTTCTAAAGGAAGTGGGAAAATGTCATTAAACAATTTTTTGGTGAAGTACTCTTTGTCACCAAAAGTTGGAAAATAGAATACTTATTTAGGAATGGAATAAGAACTGAAGCCAAATCCAAGTGAAGCTAGAAAAATGCTAAATTTTCAAATAATACCAATAGTAAAAAAGAGTAAGTTTTCATGTTTATACAGTACACATTTATAAAATGCTTTCACTTATGCATTATCATTTGATATTCACAAAAATCATATAAGGAAACTTACACAGGTATAGTATCATTACATACATTTTTACAAATGAAGAAACTGAAAACAAACTGCCAAAAGAATGTTAATAAATAGAGGAAGGTCTCAAATCTAGTTCTCCTGACTTTAGTATTCATGCAGTCATCACAAGAATATAACGAAAGAAGGATTTAAAATTATATATTGAAAGTTAACATTTACCTGAGGAACACTCCACTGCCACTGTCCTGGTAAATACTGTGCGGTGGCCTAAAATTAAATAAAAGAAAAGAAAAACCCACTCAGATTATAAATAAGGGTTAAAACTAGATATCTACAGGCAAAAATATGAAGTTGAACCCTCACACCATACACAAAAATCAACTAAAGCCATATACAAAAATTAACTCAAAACGGACCAGAGACTTAAATGTAAGAGCTAAAATTATAAAACTCTTAGAAAAAAACATAGATGTAAATGTCTTGACCTTGAATTAGGAAATGTTTGTAAAATTATGATTCCAAAAGCACAAACAACAAAGCAACAACAAAAAATAGTTAAATTTGATTTCATCAAAACTTTTGTGCAAGTGAAAATACAACCCACAGGATGAGAGAAAATATGGAACTTATATCAAGAATGTATAAAGAACGCTTACAACTTAATAATCAAAAGGCAAGTAACCCAACTTAAAAATAGGTAAATGAGATGAATAGACTTTTCTCCAAAGAAGATATGCATATGGCCAATAAACACAAGAAATAACGCTCGACACCACTAGCCTTCAGGGAAATACAAATCAAAACCATAATACAACCATAATACACTTCATACCCACTAGGATGGCTTTAATCAAAAAAGTAGATCATAAGTGTTGATGGGCATGTGGAGAAATTAGAACCCCCATAATCTGCTGGTGGGAATATAAAATGGTGCACCCCTTTAGGAAAATAAATACTTCCTTAAAAGGTTAAACAGAGTTACCATATGACCCAGCAATTCCACCCTAGTTACAAGACCTAACAGAATTAACAATATATATTCACATAAAATTTGTATGTGAATGTCCATCGCAGCATTATTTATAACAGTCAAAAAGTAGAAATAACTCAAGCGTCCATCATCTGATGAATGGATAAACAAAATGTGGTACAGTGTATCCATACAATGGGATATTATTATTTGAGAATGAAGTACTAAGACATGCCATGTCTCATTTATCATGACACAGATAAATCTTGAAATCATTATGCTAAATGAAAGAAGCCAGTCACAAAAGACCACATATTGTATGATTGTTTTTATAGGATATATCCAGAATAGGCAAATCTAGAAAAACAGGTAAGTAGATTACTGGGTGCCTAGGGCTGGGATAAGGGGAAAAAGAAGAGTAACTGCCAACTACTCAACTCGTCTACTGTAGCACAAAAACAGCCATAGACAATAAGTAAACAAAAGTGGCTGTGTTCCAATAATGCTTTATTTACAAAAGCAGGCTGCTGCTAGAGTTTGTTCTGCAAGCCATAGTCTGATGACCCCGCTATAGACCAAAATGGTCTGTCATTATAGTTCACTTATGCCCAGTTTCTCACTAGAATTAATGAAGAGTGCTGGTTAACTGAAAGAGGATGTCATAATACATAATAAACCACAATATATTATTTACTTTAATATAAATTATGTTAAATATAATATAGCCAGAAACTGACGTATGTTAACATTAAAAAACCAGCTTGCAGTCCAATACCTGTATCTTACTTTGGGAATTATTGCTGAAGACTTTTTAGATTAAATGTTAGCCAGGGGAGCAAAACTGACCTCATTACATTTGGTAAAAGGAAGCAAAGAGTCCATCTTCTTGTATGATATTGTTTAGTTCCCTCGTGAAAAAAGAGAGGCATGATGTCAGCAAGATGGCTGACCAGAGATGCCTGGTATTCATTTTCCACTGGCTCCCCATCCCGCCACAAGAAAGGACTAAGGCAATGAATAAACAGCTACAATTTGATAGGAGCATTAAAGGGAGAGTGCTAGAGTGCAGCAGGGGAGTGGAGACACACCTGTGGTGATTGCAAATCCAGGAGCACAGCATGGAGCCACTCAGCCTCTGCAACCCCTTCTCTTTTGCTAAGATTGGATCTGCCTGGAGTCCTGCAATTTCTTATTGCAGGGAAAAGGTACGCAGAAGATCCCCACCAGCCTGCATTGCTACTGCAAACACCCACACTCCTTGCAACAGGAGAATCCCATAGTCTCACAGTTTGAAGAGTTGCTGGGAATTCGTGGCTGCGTTGTCCCAAATTAGGAGTACAAAGTATGTACTCCTCACCCCCTCAATCCCATCCTGTGAGCCAAGCTGCTACAGTGTGACAGCATCTTGAGGCCACAGCCGCCTCTGAAGTGCTCCCTCTTCTAGGCGGCCAATAGCTATTGCACGTCTCCAGCACTGGGGTTCCATTTTCATTCCGCCAAGTCCGTAGCAGTGGCTGAACACAACTCCAGCAGCATGGAACCTGAGGCTTAAGATTGGCCGTGATTCTGGCTCTGTACAGTACGGAAACCACCTTCTGTTGCCCTCACCTCCAGCTAGAGGAACAATTTGGCTGACCTGCCCAGGGTGAACCCACTCTTTAGCTGGTCAAACTGCTGCACTCCCCTGAGCAGGAGAGGTCCTCAAGCCTGGTAGCAGCTGACATGCTGCCGGGACGGAATGGTTACACACCTGCATACGGGGCTGAGAAACAGCCCAGTGGTGCCTCATGCCCTGCAGACAAGCCCCTGACCTATCCTGTGCATATAATTAGAGCCCAAGAAACAGCTCTGGGGACTGCCACTGGCAGAAACGTCCCCAGGGGAGTGGAGTGGCTGTGTGTCCATGCCTAAGGCCTAAGAATTGGCCTCGTGCCCACCCCTCTAGCAGACACATCCCCAGGACAGCTGAGCAGCCTTGAACCTGTGTCCAAGGCCTGAGAAGAAGCCCCACAGGCTGCTTCCAGTGGGCATGATCCCAGGCCGACCAATAGCCCTGTGCCTGCATTCTGGGCCTATGGAACAGCCCTAACAGAAACGTTTCCAGGCCAGGTGATCCACCTTGTGCCTATGTCCCAGACTGGAGAAATAGCCCTGTGGGCCACCCCCAGCAGACATGCCCCCTGGACCAGGTGAGCAGTTGTGTACCTGCATCCCGAGCTGGAGGAACAGTCCCTGACAAACACGTCTCTAGCCAACTGAGCAGCCATGCAGCTGTGTCCACGGCCTGAGAAACAGTCCCATGGGTTGTCCCCAGCAGATGCACCCCCAGGTCAGCCAAGGAGCCATGTGCCTGCATACCCAACCCGAGAAACAGCCCCACAGGCTGCCTTTGGTGGGCATTCCCCGAGGCTGGCTGAGAAACTGCATGCTTGTGCTCTCAGCCAGAGTAACAGCCATGTGGCCCCAAGCCAAGTGAGCCAGACTTACCATGTTCATGTACACAGCCCTGACCTGAGGAACAGCCCAGCAAGCCCAAGCCCCACCACCATTATCACAGACTCTCTTGTCCTAGGTCACTGAGAAACTTGCAAATACAACTAGAGAGTATTACAGCTTAAGAGACTACACAGAGACTACCCTACTATGTCCACCTAGAACCAAGGCCAATGCACCCCACTGAACCAACACCCCAAAATCCATTCACAGAAATAAGTCTTCCCCTATGAAACCTACTTCAAATTTGAAAAGGTGACTTTTGTACCAGATGTGTAGAAATCAATGTAGGGACACATCAACCATCAAGGAAACATGTTACCGCCAATAAAAATAGTAATTCTCTAGTAACAGACCCCAATCATAGGGAAATATTTGCATATATTTCATACTGCCAGAAAAAGAATTCAAAATAATAATTTTAAGGAAATTCAGCGAGATACAAGAGAACACAGACATACAATTCAACAAAATCAGGAAAACAACTCATAATTTGAATGAGAAATTTAACAAAGAGATAGATATCATAAAAAAACAACAGAAATCCTAGAGCTGAAGAATTCAATGAATGAAATAAAAATACAACTGAGATCTTCAACAATACACTAGACCAAGCAGAAGAAAGAATTTCTGAACTTGAAGACAGGTCTTTTGAAATAACACAGGCAGACAAAAAAAAAAAAAAAAAAAAAGAAGAATGAAGAAAACCCACAGGATTTATAAGACACCATGAAGAGAATAAATATTCATTCATATAATGAGCATTTAAGAAGGAAAAGAGAAGGGAAAATGTGAGGACAACACATTTAATGAAATAATAGCAGAACATTTTCCAAGTCTTGGGAGAAGAGATGGATATCCAGGTCTGGGGAACTCAAAGAATCCTAGTAGATTCAATCTAACGGATCCTCTCAGAGGCACATTATAGTCAAATTGTTAAAAGTCAAAGAGAAAGAATTTTAAAAGCAGCAAGAAAAATGTGTCAAGTCACAATTAAAGGAATCCCCATTATACTAACAGTAGATTTCTTAGCAGAAATCTTACTGGGGAGAATGGATGATATATTTAGATACATTCAAAATACTGAAGGAAAAAAACCCTGCCAGTCAAGAATATTAGACCCAGTAAAGCTATCTTTTAGAAATGAAGGAGAAATACACTCTTTTACACGGCCAGGTGTGGTGGCTCACACTTGTAATCCCAGTGCTTTGGGAGACTAAGGCAGGAAGATTACTTGAGCCCAGGAATTTGAGACCAGCCTGGGCAACATAGCAAGACCCTATCTCTTAAAAAAAATTAGCAGGCATGGCACATGCCTGTAGTCTCAGCTATGTGGCAGGCTAAGGTGGGAGGGATTACTTGAGCTTACGAGTTTGATGCTGCAGTGAGCTATGATCATGCCACTACACTCTGTCTCTTAAAAAAACCAACTCTTTCATAGACAAGCAAAAACTGAGAGAATTTATCACCACTAGATTGGCCTTACAAAAAAAATATTCAAGGGAGTCTTACATCAGGAAGTGAAAGGATGATAACAACCCTCATGAAACATGCAAAACTATAAAATTCACTGGGACAGTCATTACACAAAGGACAAAGAGAAGAAAAGAATCAAATCTTATAATTACAGAGAACCCAGCCACAAAAAATCACCAAAAAGAGAAGGAACAAGGAACAAAAGATATGCAAAATAACCAGAAAACAATAAATAAAATGACAGGATGTCCTCACCTGTCAATAACAGCCCTGAATTCAAATGGGTTAAATTCTCCATTTAAAAGATAGAGACTGGGTGAATAGATTAAAAAAAGAATGCTACCTAAAAGAAACTCACCTTACTTGTAAAGACACACCTAGGCTGAAAGTGAAGGGATAGAAAGACATGTTCTATGCAAATGGAAACCAAAGCAGGCAGGAATAGCTATACTTATATCAGACAAAACCGACTTCAAGTTAAAAGCTTTAAAAAGAGACAAAGAAGGACATTTATATAATAATAAAGGGATCAATTCCACAAGAGAATATAACAATGTAAATACATATGTACCCAACACAAAGCACCCAGATATATAAAGCAAGTCTTATTTGATCTAAAGAGAGAGGGAGAAACCCCAATAAAATAGTGGTTGGGGACTTCAACACCCCACTCTCAGCATTGGACAGATTATCTAGAAAGAAAATAAACAGGCTGGGCACAGTGGCTCAGGCCTGTAATCCCAGCACTTTGGGAGGCCAAGGTGGGCAGATCATGAGTTCAAGAGTTCGAGACCAGCCTGACCAACATGGTGAAACCCCATCTCTACTAAAAACACAAAAAATTAGCCTGGCGTGGTGGCGTGCACCTGTAATCCCAGCTACTCAGGAGGCTGAGGCAGGAGAATTGCTTGAACCTGGGAGGCAGAGGTTGCAGTGATCCGAGATCATGCCATTGCACTCTAGCCTGCATGACAAGAGTGAGACTCTTTCTCAAAACAAAACAAAAAACAAAAAACAAAAACAAAAACAAACCAAAAAAAACCCCAAAAACAAAGAAACATGGATTTAAACTGCACCATAGGCCAAACAGACCTAACAGCTATTTTGAGAACATTTAACTGAACAGTTGCAGAATATACTTTCTTTTCATCAGCATATAAAACATTCTCCAGAATTACCATATTTTAGGAAACAAAACAAGTCTCAAAAAATTAAAAAGAACTGAAATTATATCAAGTATCTCATCTGACACAATAGAATAAAAGAAGACATCAATAAGAAGAAAAACATTCAAAACTATACAAATTCATGGAAATTAAGCAACATACTGCTGAATGACCAGTGGGTGAAGGAAGAAATTAAGAATGAAAACAGAAACACAACATACCAAACCTATGGGACACAACAGTAGCAGTATTAAGAGGCAAATTTATAGCAATGAATGCTTACATCAAAAAATTAGAAATATTTCAAATAAACACCCTTACAATGTACCTCTAAGAATTATAAGAGCAAGAACAAGCTAAACCCAAAATTAGTAGAAGAAAAGAAATAATAATAATTAGGGCAGAAATAAACAATGTTGAGACTACATAACAATACAAAAGATTAACAAAACAAAAGGTTGACTTTTTAAAAAGATAAAATCGACAAACCATTAGTTAGTCTAAGAAAAAAAAAGAAAGTAGATCCAAATAAATAAAATCAGCAATGAAAAAGACATCACAATGGATACCATAAATACAAAGGATCAGTAGAGACTATTATGAACAACTATATGCCAATAAATTAGAAAACCTAGAAGAAACAGATAAATTCCTGAACATACACAATCTGCCAAGACTAAACCAAGATTGAAGAAATCGAAAACCTTAAGAAACAAGGCCAAGCGCAGTCGCTCATGCCTGTAATCCCAGCACTTTGGGAGGCCAAGGCGGGTCGATCACGAGGTCAGGAGATTGAGACCATCCTGGTTAACACGGTGAAACCCCGTCTCTACTAAAAAAAATAAAAAATTAGCCGGGCGAGGTGGCGGGCGCCTGTAGTCCCAGCTACTCGGGAGGCTGAGGCAGGAAAACGGCGTGAACCTGGCAGGCTGAGCTTGCAGTGAGCCGAGATTGCGCCACCTGCACTCCAGCCTGGGCGACAGAGCGAGACTCCGTCTTCAAAAAAAAAAAAAAAAAAGAAAAGAAAATGAAAAGAAAACCTGAAGAAACAAATTTAAGTAACAAGATTGAATCAGTAATTAAAACGTCTTCCAACAAAGAAAAGTCCAGAACTACATGGCTGAATTCTACCAAACCTTTAGGTAAGAATACAGGTCTTCCCAAACTATTCCAAAAAATCGAAGCAGAGGGAATTCTCCCAAATTCATTCCATTAGTTTGAATACATTAAACTAAAAAGTTCCTGCACAGTGAAGAAAACAATCAACAGAGTGAAGACACAACCTGTTGAATGGTAGAAAACATCTGTAAACTACCTATCTGACACAGAATTAATATTAAAATATACAAGGATAAACAAAATAAACAACAGCAAAATGAACAAAAAATAAACTGATTAAAAATGGGAAAATGATCTGAATAGACATTTCTCAAAAGAAGGCAAAGAAATGGCTAACAAATATTTGAAAAAATGATCAACATCACTAATTATCAGGAAACTGTAAGTCAAAACCACAATGAGGTATTATCTACCCCAGTTAGGATGGTTATTGTCAAAAAGAGAAAATAACAAAGGCTGGTGAGGATGTAGAGAAAAGGAAACTCTTCTACATTGTTAGTAGGAATGCAAACTAGTATAACCACTGTGGAGAACAGTATGGAGGTCCCTGAAAAAACTACAAGTAGAACTACCATATGATCTGGTAATCCCACTATGCGGAATTTATTTGGAGAAAAGGAAATCATTGATTCAGAGAGACATCTGCACCCCCATGTTTATTACAGCATTATTCACAATAGCCAAAATATGAAATCAACCTAGGTGTCCAACAACAGATGAATAAAGAAAATGTGGCATATATATACATGACGGAATACTATTTGGCTATAAAAAAGAATAAAATCCTATCATTCATGGCAGTATGGATGGAACTGGAGGTCATTATGTTAAATGAAATAAGCCAGGAACAGAAAGTTAAACAACACATGTTCTCATGCATATGTGGAAGCCAAAAAACACTGATCTCAAAAATCTGTCACCTGCACAGATATTTTTGAAATAAAAAAGTTTTATTTTCCCCCTCTTTCTTGTAATAAGTGATAAAATTCCAAGTCTTTTCAACTGCCTTTCAAACAATGTTTACAAGAGAGTAGCTTATCCTCTGCTGGTCTACACTGGTTGCTCAATTCAACTTGTATTCCTGTTTTTGTATATGCAGCATTTAGACTTACATATGGCAAGAAGGCATTTTTTTTTTTAAAGGAAACAAACTCGCAAATCATGAAGTGATGTAAAAGTTGCATATGCCTACAAAGCTCTGAATTCAGGTCCCATTGCTGTCAAAAAGAAATGAATGTAACTCCTACCCTAATCCATTTTTTATATGATAAAAGTGCCTTAGCATGAGTTGCAACTGTCATCACTACAGTAAGCCGGTTTACAGATGTTTTCCACTGAGCGTCACAATAAAGAGTACCATGTGCTACAAAAAATAAATAAATAAAAATAAATTGATCTCAGAAGTAAAAAGAATACCGGGGGCTGAGAAGGATAGAGGGAAAGGAGGAATAGGGAGAGATTTGTGAAAGGATACAAAATTACAGCTACCTCAGGAATGGAAAACCAAACATCCTATGTTCTCACTCATAAGTGGGAGCTAAGCTATGAGGATGAGAAGGCATAGGAATGATACAATGGACTTTGAGGACTTAGGAAGAAGGGGCGGGAAGGGGGTAAGGGATAAAAGACTACAAATTGTGTTCAGTGTATACTGCTCGGGTGATGGGTGCATCAAAAATCTCACAAATCACCATTAAAGAACTTACTCATGTAACCAAATACTATCTGTTCCCCACAAACCTTTGGAAATAAAAATTAAAAAAAATAAACAAAAAATCCCAAACACCCCTAAAATTACAGCTAGATGGGAGGAATAAGTTCTAATGTTCTATACCACTATAGGATGACTATAGTTAACAATAATACATAGTTTCAAATAGCTAGAAGGAGGCTATTGAATGCTCCCAACACAAATAAATGATTCATGTTTGAGATGATGGATATGCTAATTACTCTGATTTGATCACCATATTCTATGTATCAAAACATCACTACATACCCCATGAATAGGTATAATTATCATTTGTCAATGAAAAAAATTTTAAAAAGAAAAAAACACTACCAAGGATTAACTCTTTTTTATTTTTTATTTTCTAACTAATCATTTATTTTATTTATTTTTAAAACTTTTATTTTAGGTTCAGGGATACATGTGAAGGTTTGTTACATAGGTAAACTCGTGTCACAGGAGTTTGTTGCACAAATTATTTTATAGCCCAGTACCCAATAGTTATCTTTTCTGCTCTTCTCCCTCCTCCCACCCTCCACCCTCAAGTAGACCACAGTGTCTACTGTTCCCTTCTTTGTGTTCATGAGTTCTCATCATTTAGCTCACACTTCTAAGTGAGAACATGTGGTATTTGGTTTTCTGTTCCTGTGTCAGTTTGCTAAGGATAATAGCCTCCAGCTCCATCCACGTCCCTGCAAAAGATATGATCTCATTGTTTTTTATGGCTGCAAAATATTCCTTGGTGTATATGTACCACATTTTCTTTATCTATCTGTCATTGATAGGCATTCCATGTCTTTGCTATTGTGAATACTGCTGCAATGAACATTCGCATGCATGTGTCTTTATGGTAGAATGATTTATATTCCTCTGGGTATATACCCAGTAATGGGTCTAATGGTAGTTCTGCTTTTAGTTCTTTGAGAAATCTCCATACTGCTTTCCACAATGGTTGAACTAATTTACACTCCAACCAATGGTGTATAAGTGTTCCTGTTCTCTGTAACCTCGCCAGCATCTGCTATTTTTGACTTTTTAGTAATAGCCATTCTGACTGGTGTGAGATGGTATATCATTGTGGTTTTGATTCACATTTCTCTAATGAAGTATCTCTTTGTAATTAGTAAAGTAGTTGCATGAGAGAAATAAATGAAAGTTAGCTAAGAAAGGACTGAAAGTTTCAGAGAGAATTTTAACTGTAATTTATGTTTACCTGGTAGTGATATGCAGGTTGCTGATAAATGGGCTGAGCTACCATCACAGGGGAGCTACATACAGAACGTGACTATAAGAGGATGGAAAAAGAAAAATTAGGCAGAAGCCTTTAAAATAGCTCACAATAAAATTTATCTCAAATTATTACCTAAACCCAGTCAACTTCTGGTTTATGATTAGAAATGTTATTTTTCTACCCCTTATTGATATTATTACCGACTCTACTAAGTCTATTTATTAAAATCATCACAACATTTCTACTTCCATGTGGTTTCATTTCCATAGTAATGCTAAAACAACCACCAGAAAAGTTGCTTTTAGTCTGAAATGTACCACCTCCAAAGATTATGAAAATATAGTTCTAAGAGAATACTTAGAGGAAAATGACAGCAAGACTTAGTGTGACGCTGCCCGTTTCCATTGTGAGGACCAGCAGGAAACAGTTAATGTTTATAATAGTATTTACAACTGAATGAATAGCCATATCTAATTTTCCCACTAGTTACAAATAATCAATGTTCTATTCCTTTGTTATACCTATAATTAAAGCAAAGATATTTTATTTTTATTTTAGTAATTTGACATTTAAATGAGTTAATAGTTTGACAAACTTATAAGCGAAAAATCCATGTGTAAAAAAAGTAGAGGTAACACTTGATTATTCAAAGTGAAAGAGTAAGCCCCAAAACAGATTACTTAAAACCAGATTGTCAATAAAACAGGCAAGTTATATTGCCAGATAGTAAAACTGGCTCTAATATAGCAATTAAAATTCAATGTATAATGTGGGATCTAACTTATATTGTTTTGTTTTAATGTTTGCACCCCCAAAACTGAGGAAAAGTATCATAGTTTTGTACAATTCACAGACTATGGTATGCTAATAAAACTGTATCATAGATTAACATTAGAAAATAATAATGTAATTCACTACATTAATAGATTAAAGGAGGAAAAAATGGTAATTTCAACAGAGACAGAAAATGCGTTTGTTAAAATTCCATACCTTTTTATGATTAAAAACTCTTAGCAAACATAGTAGAAAATAGCTTCCTTAATTGATTTAGGGCAGTAATTCTCAACCATGAGTGATTTTGTCCTCTAGGGAACATCCGGCAATGTTGGGAAGACATTTTTGATTGTCATAACTATGGGGAACCTAGGGATACTTCTAAACATCCTACAGTGCACAGGACAGTCCTTCACAACAAAGAAATCATCTGGCTCAAAATGTCAACAGTGCTAAGATTGAGAAAGTCTGGTTAAGAGTATCTTCCCACTTACAAAGTATGCGCATGTGTGTGTGTCTATATACATATGTATACACGTGCATATATACATGCGTATGTATATGCGTGCATATATACATGCATATGTATATACGTGCATACATGTAAAGCTTAATAGTGAATCACTGAATTTGCTCCTTTTCAAGAACAAGGTCATGATGTATTCACTACATCAATACTGTAGCAGAGACACTGTCAGTGCAAAAACTCCAGGAAAAAAAGAAGTGAAAGAAATAGAAGTATACTGAATCATAAATAATTGTGTAAATGAGAGTTTGGCAGGGTTACTGACAGAATATCAATATTGAAAAATCAAGAGCATTACTATACACCAGCTCCAATCTTCTAGGAAATGTTATTTAAAAAACAGCATTCATCAAAGCGACAAAACTATAGTCTACTAAGAATAAGTTCAACAAAAGATGTGTCAAGCTTTTTTACGGAGAAAGAAAACTTTTTTATGGATAGAAGTAAAATAAGACAAATAAATGGAGAGATGTATCATGCTCATGGATGGGAAGATTCAGTATTTTAAAATACTGAAATGTCCCAAGTTATTCACACTATTTAATGCAATTCTAGTAGAAAAACAAGGGTTTTTCACTGAACTAAACAAGCTGAATTACAAAATGTATACCTATTAACACAAAGACATAAGGATAGATGAGAGACTCCTGAAGAAGAACAATGTACTTTAAGATTTCAAGATTCATTATAAAGTCAAAATAATTAGAACTGGGCAAGGTGAACAAATACACCAATGGAACAAAATAGCAGAAAAAAGACCCACACACACGGAAACTTAGTATTTGGCAGAAGATTAATTTCAAAATAGTAGGAAATAGATGGATTAGTCAATACATAAATTCAAGATTTGAGATCCAGAAGTAAAAAGTGGCAATACTATAGCTTTAAAAATAAAAAAATAGAATATATTCTTGTAGTAAAAAAACCCAAAAACTAAAAAAGATGAAAAAATCTTGTGCCAGTTTTCAAAGGGAATGTGTCCATATTTTGCCCATCCAGTATGATACTGGCTGTGGGTTTGTCATAAATAGCTCTTATTATTTTGAGATACATTCCATCAATACCTAGTTTATTGACAGTTTTTAGCACGAAGGGCTGTTGAATTTTGTCGAAGGCCTCTTCTGCTTCTACTGAGATTAATCATGTGGGGTTTGTCGTTGGTTCTGTTTATGTGATGGATTACGTTTATTGATTTGCGTATGTTGAACCAGCCTTGCATCCCAGGGATGAAACCGACTTGATCGTGGTGGATAAGCTTTTTGATGTGCTGCTGGGTTCAGTTTGCCAGTATTTTATTGAGGATTTTTGCACTGATGTTTATCAGGGATATTGGTCTAAAATTCTCTTTTTTTGTTGTGTCTCTGCCAGGCTTTGGTATCAGGATGATGCTGGCCTCATAAAATCAGTTAGGGAGCATTCCCTCTTTATCTATTGATTGAAATAGCTTCAGAAGGAATGGTACCAACTCCTCTTTTACCTCTGGTAGAATTCGGCTGTGAATCCGTCTGGTCCTGGACTTTTTTTGGTTGGTAGGCTATTAATTATTGCCTCAATTTCAGATCTTGTTATTGGTCTATTCAGAGATTCAACTTCTTCCTGGTTTAGTCTTGGGAGGGTGTATGTGTCCAGGAATTTATCCATTTCTTCTAGATTTTCTAGTTTTTTTGCGTAGAGCCCTCTCTCACCACTCTTGTTCAACATAGTATTGGAAGTTCTGGCCAGGGCAATCAGACAAGAAAAGAAATAAAGGGTATTCAATGAGGAAAAGAGGAAGTCAAGTTGTCCCTGTTTGCAGATGACATGATCGTATATGTAGAAAACTCCATCGTCTCAGCCCAAAATCTCCTTAAGCTGATAAGCAACTTCAGCAAAGTCTCAGGATACAAAATCAATGTGCAAAAATCACAAGCATTCCTATACACCAATAACAGACAAACAGAGAGCCAAATCGTGAGTGAACTCCCATTCACAATTGCTACAAAGAGAATAAACTACCTAGGAATCCAACTTACAAGGGATTTGAAGGACCTCTTCAAGGAGAACTACACATCACTGCTCAAGGAAATATGAGAGGACACAAACAAATGGAAGAACATTCCATGCTCATGGATAGGAAGAATCAATATTGTGAAAATGGCCACACTGCCCAAAGTAATTTATAGATTCAATGCCAACCCCATCAAGCTCCTAAAGACTTTCTTCACAGAATTGGAGAAAACTACTTTAAAGTTCATATGGAACCAAAAAAGAGCCTGCATTGCCAAGACAATCCTAAGTGAAAAGAACAAAGCTGGAGGCATCACGCTACCTGACATCAAACTATACTACAAGGCTACAGTAACCAAAACAGCATGGTATGGGTGCCAAAACAGAGATATAGACCAATGGAACAGAACAGAGGCCTCAGAAATAACACCATACATCTACAACCATCTGCTCTTTGACAAACCTGACAAAAACAAGCAATGAGAAAAGGATTCCCTATTTAATAAATGGTGCTGGGAAAACTGGCTAGCCATGTGTAGAAAGCTGAAACTGGATCCCTTCCTTACACCTTACACAAAAATTAATTCAAGATAGATTAAAGACTTAAATGTTAGACCTAAAACCATAAAAACCCTAGAAGAAAACCTAGGCAATACTATTCAGGACATAGGCATGGGCAAGGACTTCATAACTAAAACACGAAAGCAATGGCAACAAAAGCCAAAATTGACAAATGGGATATAATTACACTAAAGAACTTCTGCACAGCAAAAAAAAAAACTGCCATCAGAATGAACAGGCAACCTACAGAATGGGAGAAAATTTTTGCAGTCTACCCATCTGACAAAGGGCTAATATCTAGATTCTACAAATTTACAAGAAAAAAGAAAAGAAAAAAAGAAAGAAAAACTCAAACAAATTTACAAGAAAAAAACAAACAATCCCATCAAAAAGTGGGCAAAGAACATGAACAGAAACTTCTCAAAAGAAGACATTTATGCAGCCAACAGACACATGAAAAAATACTCATCACCACTGGTCATCAGAAAATGCAAATCAAAACCACAATGAGATACCCTCATGCCCGTTAGGATGGCGATCATTAAAAAGTCAGGAAACAATAGATGCTGGAGAGGATGTGGAGAAATAGGAATGCTTTTACACTGTTGGTGGGAGTGTAAACTAGTTCAACCATTGTGGAAGACAGTGTGGCGATTCCTCAAGGATCTAGAACTAGAAATACCATTTGACTCAGCAATCCCATTACTGCATATATACCCAAAGAATTATAAATCATGCTACTATAAAGACACATGCACACATACGTTTATTGTGGCACTATTCACAATAGCAAAGACTTGGAACCAGCCCAAATGTCCATCAGTGATAGACTGGTTTAAGAAAATGTGGCACATATACACCAATGAATACTATACAGTCATAAAAAAGGATGAATTCATGTCCTTTGCAGGGACATGGATGAAGCTGGAAACTATCATTCTCAGCAAACTATCACAAAGACAGAAAACCAAACACCACATGTTCTCACTCATAGATGGGAATTGAACAATGAAAACACTCGGACACAGGGTGGGGAACATCACACCCCAGGGCCTGTTGGGGGGTGGGAGGCTGGGGGAGGGATAGCATTAGGAGAAATACCTAATGTAAATGATGAGTTTTTGCAGCAAATGTATACCTATGTATCAGACCTGCACGTTGTACACATATACTCTAGAACTTAAAGTATAAGAAAAAATAAAAAATAAAAAAAGAAGAAAAAATTCTTGTAAAAAAAGACCAAAAAAATCATAAAATTTTCATGAGAAAAAAATCAAAAAGAGTTAATGAACAAGCCACAAATTGGAAGAAGATATTGGCAACCCACAAAATTCATGTAACAAACTCAAGATAAAAACAAATCACCCCAACAGAAAAATGGACAATGGATATGAACAGGCAGTTCATAGAAGAAAGTAGAATGGCCAATAAATACATGAAAATATGTTCAATATTACTACAAGTTAGGCAAATAAAAGTAAAACAAAATACTACTGCATAAAATAATATTGACATAAATTAAAAAATCTGGTAATTTTAAGGGTTGGCAGATTATGGAAAAATGGGGCTGTCATAAACTGTTGGCTAGAATGTACACTTTCAAAAGCTCTTTGGCAACATCTAGTCAAAGATATGCATATTTCATGAATGTGAAATTCTATGTATATATCCTAGCCTAGGCCAAGGTACATTAGGGAAGTACAAAAATTTTCCAGTAATAAATACATGGGCATGAATAACTTTAAGAGTATGAATTTTCATATTCTAAACTTCATATGTACTGCTTTCTGATGTGATCTGCCTGTGGCTGTGTCTGTGTAATATGTATTCTTCTTTTAAAATCTCTCCTTTCACCATCACCTTTTTCCTTCCCTAAAGAAAGGTGTATTTCTCTCTCCTTCTGGATCTTGCTATAATGCTTTGTTCAGGAATGTAAATACCAACAGGGCATCAAACAGATATACAACTCAAGAGGGCAATGCCCTGAGAAATGAGAGAAGGCAAAGTAGAAAGAGCTTGCATAAGAAGTATTAAAGGGGAGATGATACTTATTTCATCTAGGGAACAAACTTAAATTAGCCGATGGTCACATGGATACATATTAAATCATTTATTTGAGTTTAAAAATAAAGTCGGAATTTTCTAAAAGCAAGTTTTATTCAGTAGTTTTATTTGGTTGACCGGCTTTGTTAACTGAGTTATAGAGCAGACACTTTCCACTATTAAGTAAGCTAAATCTACAGATACAAAGTTTTGATGAAAATATATAAACCTACAATATACAATATTCCTAAACTATTTAAACTTATAATAAACTTCAGATATCAACTTAAAAATGAGTGACTGTTTTCATAATATTTCAAAAAAATTCAGAGATAATTTATATAATAAGTAAAACCTTAGAAAACCACTGCCCCACCCAGAAAAACCCTCACATAATACATACAAGATCTGGGTATTCAATGTAACCTTGTTTGTAGAAAAAACTTAAAATGTCCATCAATAGAGGAATATAAAAAATTGTAATACACTCATACAATGAAATATTATAAAATATTAAAATAGGTGAACTACATATACAAGGATCAATGTGATATAATCTAAAAAGAGACAAACATGGTTTGATCTCAAAAATATAATGCTGAGTGTAAAAACCAGATTATTTATACAGTGTTTAAAAACCACTAAAACAATACTAGATGTCATTTATGAATACATATATTTGTAGTAAAAATATATGAAATGAATAGGAAAGATATTCTGCTTACTTCTGAACAGGAAAGAAGGTAAGGAAAACTGACATGAAGCTGTCTTACTTTACTCCCCATTTTAAGAACTTAAGTAAATGTTGCAAAATGTTGATGTCTATTAAATTTAGTTGACGTGTGTTATTATTTGTAATTATCTGTGGTTGAAATATTTCAGAAATAAAACAAACATTAAAAAAATCAATAAGTAATAGGTAGAAATCCTTTTTAAATGAAATTACTTACAGGCCAAGGTGGTGGGACAGAAGTTACCTCTGGAGTATGAAAATAAGCAACACCATTATGGTAAGTATAAGGATATCCAGTTGAAGTTGTTAGATACATTGTTCCAGCTGCTGGCATTATACTAGAACCTAAAGCAAAGATTAAATAATAATAATTAAAACGTTCAATTTAACTGTTAAAAATGTAGTTTCTAAACACTTCCGAAAAATATTTATCTTAATATACCTTTGTAGCTATGGTAAAAATGGAATGTCACAGGTATTTAAAAAAACTTCCTTATGTCAAAGTATCTTTGAAGCATGTATTTTTAAACTCAATACCTTAAAGCTTTTAGTTTAAGATGATTAAAAGAAAAGATAAACAATGCTAATAGAAATACTAAATATGTATCAATTCAGATTCCAACACCAGTATGCTACACAGAGCTTAACAATTTAGATTATCATCAGCAAAGTAATTATTTGTACAAATATAAATTATGTATAATTACTTTAAGACTATATACACTATAGTAAAGTTCCTAAGGTCTTGGCTAGACTTTTTATTTCTGAAAGTTCAAAGATGATGGAGGCAGTAGAGTTGGAGAAGATTCTACTTTCCTGAAGACATTTTGGTTCCACCCTACTAATTCTTTGGATATCCTACCAGCAAACATTCATTCATGCTATGGCTCTCTTTTCTCTCTCTTTTCTATGATCTATTCTCTATCTAGTCTCCCTTTGCTACAACTGCTGCTGTTGCAAACATGACCTCAAGTCTTCATGTGGCTAGTCTGGGGTCCCCATCTCGTTTCCCAGGCCAAGTTATATAAACCCCCACCACAAACCAAAAAACAATAAATAATATACATATTTTTTTTTGTCATGGAGGAGACTTTAAAAGTTAAATTAGCCAAATTAGATTAGGGTCTTAACCAGCAAGGTTATATAAATTAGTGAAACTGACAATTCTTCTTCCACCTGTACCAGTGCTTCTCAAAGTTTCACATAAATTAGAATCACCTAAATTGTTTATTAAAATGCAAATTCCAGGGACTTATCTTCAGAGATTCTGAGTCAGTAAATCTGGGACAGGGCCTAAGAGTTTGCATTTTGACAGCTTCCAATGAACTGATACTGTCTGCAAACCACACTTCAAATAGCACGGGCCTATCGCTTTAAGTAATACTATTGCTCCTCAGCTTTTATATTTTCACTGCATTTGATCTAGTATTGTTATTATTTATTTTAATGGTTCTTAATTAGATCTTTTTGAGAATCTGATGAAAACCAGGGACCTTTTCCTCAGATATATATACAGTCAAACACAATTTTACACGCAATTCTGGAGGTCCATGGATTCCCCCCAAAAGTTATTCAACTATTATTCAAAGATAATGATAATGGTTCATTATTCAATAATGGTTTATTATTCAAAGAACATGAACCATGCTTTACCTGCTAAATAAATAAATTTTCAGTGCATACTATCTCAAGGCATTGAACTGGGCCCTAGTGATACAGCAAAAAATAAAAAAATTAGACATGAGATGGTCTGTATCCTCAAAGAAGTTAGGTCTGGTAGGGAAGATAGTAATTAGTTGATTACACAATTAATTAATTAAATACAATTTTGATAAATACATGAGGCAGTATAGGGTATGATACTGAACATTTCAATTATTATATATATATAAAACATATAAAAATCTCTATATATACACATATGTGGAACATTTGTGATGAAATGATGTTTCAGCTAAGCTCTAAAGAATGAATTGGATGGCAAAGAACATTCTAGGTAAAGAAAACAGTATATTAGATTCTGAGAACAGGAGTATAGTATGTTCTGGAACTGAAAGAAGGCTAGATGGCTAAAGCATGGAAAGAAAAGGGAAGAATATCTCAAAATAAGCTGAGCATAAGACAATAAGAGGTGCACTTTTGAAAGATCACTCTGGCTTCCTTGTGAATGATGGATTGGAAGGGAGAAAGATTGGATTCACAGAGACCACTTAGGATGATTTTCCAGGAATTAAGGTAAACAAAGTGGTTAGCTGGGACTCAGGTGTTGGTAATGGAGACGGAAAGAAATGACAGACCTAAGAAAAAACTAAGATAAGAATCCCTTATTTGTAAATGTACTTTTAATACCTATTTTTCTTTGCAGAAAAGTCAAAAGAACTTTGGAATCAAACAGTCCTGCATTTGAAGGCTAATGCCACCACTCACCATTAGGCTATTTAACCCCATACTTCTCAAAGTTGGATAAGGGATGGATGGTATACCAGGAGATATGAAAAAGCAGAGGCTGAACATAGTAATCTTCCTACAGAATCAGTTTTATTCAATTGTTTTTGGGAAACATTTTTATATTCAAATAAACAATATGATATTATGGAACAGAATGCAAATTATACATGATGTTTTTACATAAATCGTGAGACTTAAGAAAATTTGCAATTCCAATATGCTGCAGTGGGTTAGGAACCACAACATGCCAAGATTAACTCTCCTCTACGAGTATTTCAGCAGAAACATTTTTAAAACAATGACTTTACCTTTTTGGGATTGAATTTTCTATTTACAAAAATAGATATAATAATACGTCATGGGGTTCTATGAAGATTAAATGAAAACCCATAACATTGACCCTTCCACTAAGTAGTTTTGAAAAAACAATTAGTATATTTGAAAGCATTCAGCATAGTGCTGATTTATTTTCTATTTCAGCAACTGGTAGATCATACTATGAACGTTACTATTTAGTACATATTGCTGGTGATAATGGGCTAAAGGACTGTTACTACATGTTCTAGCTTAATCTTTGCAAGTAACAACAATAGTCTGAAAATATTCAGCATTCTGCCATATTTAGTGCATTCCATTTTGTATTAACCTACTGAGGATATTTTGTCTCCTAAATTAACAAATACTAAGCCAAAATTAAACTTAATATACGTCAATCTCTTTTTTGTTGTAGTTGCGGCAACTGTATTAACTGAATATTTATTATTTCTAAGTCAAAAGCATAAAAGTCCAAATGAACACAATCTATTAATTTGTTAACAGATTATACATAATAATTACCAAATGTTTTAAACATTCCCGTAGACACTAGGATGTGGCCAAGGGAAAATAAGTTAGTTATTAATTTTACATCACATTTCTCCTTCTAGCCAAAGACTGTTTGGAATATTAATAAATATTAAAGGTAAAAAGTTAACTATAAAGATGCCTAACTTAATAAATAGAAAGAGTGAGGAAAGAATAATAGAATTGAAAGCATTAGAGACATTTGGGGAAAGTAGATACATAACTTAGCTAATTCCTAAAGCTTTAGGGATTGTCCCTCTGAAAATTATGACACACCTGGCTGGGTTACAGTACATAGCATGCAGTGAGTTTCTGATATTAGTTCTATGTTTTCACTTTCAATATTTTTACTCTGATTAATTTTAAATTACTTTCTAATTAAATTTTTTCTCATTAGTAAGTCTAAATTATTAAATTACTAATTACTTTTGCTATTTTAAATGATATTTTCATCATGAAAGATTGTTCCTTTAATGATATAACTACACAGAATATACTTAAGCATCTTTATGTATATAAAGTTTTTTCTCAACCAAAAAAAATTGAGATACATTATTTTGTGGCAAAAAATACTCAGTTTTTCCACCAACTTTGCTAAAATAACTATTAAATGAAAGAAACATGATATTTTAATAAAGTTCTATGAAAAGTCTCATATTTCAAAAAAGAACCATGCAAAAATATTTTAAAATACATTAGTTTTCAATACATACGAGGGATCCCTACTTGTTGTTTTCTTATTGCTGGACCAATGTTCAGCTTCTTATCCTTGTAATTAAGTTTTTCAGCCTAAAATAAAGAAAAAGGAAATTATTTTATTATTTTAGCACTATTATTAAAAAATAAATAAGGAAAAACCAGTTAGAAAGAATTTCAAAAATTCAGACTATAACATTCTTTGAAATCAGCAAGGAATAGTGGGAAAGAGCAGTCTTCAGACTGAAATAGATCTGGGTCTGACCGCAATTCCCCATTTGTAATACAGTCAATCCTCATTACTCATGGATTCTGTATTCGTGAATTTACCTATTTGCAAAATTTATTTGTAATCCTAAAATTAATATTTGTGGCAATTTTGAGGTTATTAGTGGACATGTGCAGAGTGGCGGAAAATTTGAGTAGCCTGATACACATGCTCCCAGCTGAGGTCAAATAAGGTGATATTCTTTCTTCTTGTTCCAGTGCTCATACTCTAAGAGAGAGCTTTCTATTTAGTGCCACGCTTTCTCCATTTTTGTGCTTTTTTGTTGGTGATTTTGCTATTTAAAATGGCCCCCATGTGCATTGCTGAAGTGCTGGCTAGCACAAGAAGACTGTCATAGGCCTTATGGAGAAGATATATATTAGATGTACTTAATTCAAGCATGAATTGTAGTGCTGTTGGCCATGGTTTCAATGTTAATGAACCAGTAATCTGTTATATATGATGCCTTTAAATGGAAAAACACATAAAACAAGGTTATATATTGATAGGTTGATGGCAATATTGTGACCAGAGGTTCTTGGGAACCTTACCTTGTATTTCCCCTAGAAAGAGTAGTTCAGCATTTGCTAATTCAGTGTTCCTAGCAATGACAGAGAACATAACTGCCACAAATAACAAGAATTGACTGTATATGATTTTAATAACATATAATTCAAATTCTACATTTTTCTAAAAAAGTTAAATGTTATATTTGCCTTAACAAAGTTAT